TACACTATACACCACTGTTCATTATTTTGATAAATTCAGTTACGTATAATATTCACATCAGTTCAAAACTAAATTATTAATAAAATAGGTATTAAACAGCTTACCGATTTAAATCCTCCGTGGCCTTATGACATGCGGCTCAAATTGTGCCCCATTCATTTCGAGGCAGATTTAGACTCGGTGTTTCGTCTCCTCATGCGGGCGGGACATCATCATGGGTTCTTCGACACAGTCCACACGTAATTTGTGAAAAATATCCACGATTCTTTGGCGCATTTCGTCAGCACTACCACACTCACGATTAAAAGCCCTTTCTTTCACATACCCACAGAAAGAAGTCTAACGGGGTGAGATTAGATGAGCGAGGTGTCCCAGCGTGTGGTCCTAGTCTGCCGATCCAGCGATCATGAAATAGTTCGGTGAGGCGCTCACGGACGAACCTCACGACATGTAGAGATGCACCATCATGCTGGAACTATGTGCGGCGATATTCAGCCAAAGATAGGTCATCCAAAATGTCAATCAACTGTTCATTTATAAAGTTTAGGTATCGCTGTCCGTTAAGTCGCTGTGGAAGAAACACTGGTCCTAGTATGCGATCCTTAAATAAACCTGCCCATACGTTAACTGACCATCGGGTTTGGTGCCCGGTTTGTCGAATAGCGTGCGGGTTAACCTCGCAATACCCGTGAGTATTTCTTCGGTTCCACAGGCCGTTTCTGGTAAATGTGGACTCATCCGTCCAGATGAGGTGCCAATGAAACCGTTTAGTTACACGTTGTTGCTGGTCTAATAGCCAACGGCAAAAAACTCATCGGCGGTCGTGATCGCCTGGGACTAAAGCTTGCACTTTGTGCACAATGGTTGCATTCGGTTACGCTTCAACACTTTGTGAACTGTACAGAATGACACACTTGTTCCATCCCGACGCCTTAACAATTTAGCAATACTTCGTGTACCTAAGTTCGGATTCCGCGAACGACATCTAAAATGCGCTCCTCAGAGTGAACAGTCACTTGATTTCCACCTCCTGCCGCTACTGGAGCAATGGGCCGATTTTCCAACACTCTCTGAAATGCTGCTGTTCATCAGACGAGAGTCAGTTGGGTGTTGAGTGGTCGGAAATTTTTCTCGGTAAATTCGTAACACACCCGCAGCATTCCCGCAGGCTTCTCCAAGGCACATTCACATGTTGCCGTATTCACGAGCACTATAAACGTACGCGTTAGGCATTTTTAAAACAAAACAACAAACACTATAGTTCATAAAAGATAGCTTGATCTCTGCGACAGCTGTCAGTAAAAATCACGCCTATGAAGTCCTGAATTTCTTAGTAGTACAGACAGTACCTGTCAATGTCATACTTTATGGGCATGCACTAATTAGGTCGGAATGGGCATGCCGACCTGGTTAGTGCATGCCCATAAAGTATGACATTGACAAGTACTGTCTGTACTACCTACTAAGAAATTCAGGACTTCATAGGCGTGATTTTTACTGACAGCTGTCGCAGAGATCAAGCTATCTTTTAAGAACTATAAACGTAACAATAAAAGTAATAACAAAAAGAATTTAATACACAAAACAACTGAACTGCTCACGCCATAGATAAGTTAGTATAAACGGGATACTCACGCGCACGTTTACACAGAACTGTCTCAAAAACTCAACAATATAATCAGCTGGTACCATTTTAATTTTCACTGCTGGTTTTATTTTTCAGTATTTTCATGATTTTTTTAATGAAATTATTGTTTTATTTAGCTGTACTGACACGATGGACCGTGAATCTAATAAAACATTGTGAAATAATGATTTTTTTTCATTGGGATCGATTTTAACCTGGTCCCATCGTCAACGGGGTATCGTTAGTACTATAGTCTGTCTTCGTTATCGGGAGCATTACAAAAATACCCTGTATAATCAAAGACAACACAGTTTAATTACTCGTTTTCGTTCATTTGTATTGTTTGCTTTCGCGGAAAAGAAGTGAAATTTCGATGACAATGACAATTAATACAAAAATTTTAATCAAAAATTATTGATTATATGTAGGGTTTATTAAAAAATGCGTTTTTTTTTCAATTCGTATCTATAGTCCGTTCGCGTTAAGAAAATAGTGAGTCATCGTTGTCCGCCAGCCTGGCCACGGCCCCCAGCCAATTAAAATGCAAGAAATTAGAAAGTCGAGTTCACAGTGACCAGTTGAAGTCAGGCCTTCGAACAAAACGGTTGTGTATTTTACGTGTTACTCGTTCAACATTAAATTTTGAAAATGAATACCTCACCTATTCGAAAGAATAAAAGTGGATCAATAATCCATAGCGGAGAAAGACGCGTAATTTACAATGTTTATAAGTATTTTAAACTGTGTGATTTAAATGCGACTGTGGAGAGCACAGTAATAAAAACTGCAAGTGCATGTGGCGTGTCCGAAAATACTGTTTATAAAATTATTAAAGAACAAAAGGATACTAACACATTAAACTCACGGACTCGACTATCGACGGTCCATAAATTAGATGAACTAGACAAATTTGCAATAAGGAGAAAAGTTCACTCAATATATTTAAATAACTACTACCCGACAATGGACAAAATTATGACACTTTGCGAAGCTGACAAAGATATTCCTGTTTTCAAACGTACCACCCAAAACACGAGCTTGTTCGATTCAAACAATACGAACAAGTCAAGAAGATATTGTTTTATGGAGGCGTAAATATCTGGGGCAAATAAAAGAATACAGAGCCGCTAATAAAACCATTTTACCACTATCTTGACGAAACGTGGGTAAACGCCGGACACGTAAAGACAAAAGCATGGTTGGATACAACGGTAAAAATAAAAGACAAGCCTTTCTAGATGGCTTATCAGCCGGTCCTGAAAAGGTCCAAAGCTCCGACAGGAAAAGGTAAAAGGTTAATTGTATTGCACATTGGCAGCGACAAAGGATTCGTGGAAAAAATTATGTTGGTGCCAATAACTCCACGTTCAAAATGAGTGACATAAAAAAATTATTATATGACGCAATAGCATTAATAGACACTAATCGTTGGAAGAAGTGCTGAGACCACGTGATACGCGAAGAGAACCATCTGGAATTTGGATGACATCATGGAACTTGCAGAACAAAATTCTTTCATAATTAATGTAACTGGAGAATCTAGCGATACTGTTTAGTGATTTAAGTAATTTTAAGAAAATTTGTTTCCATTAAACTTAATTAAATGTTTGAAAAAAAAAAAGAGAATTTTTACTCCACTGTGAATACACCTTTACCCTGTGGTTGCACTGATGACTCACTATTTCCTTAACGCGAACGGACTATACCCAAAACGGCTCAAATATTACTCTAAAAATTAGTAGATTTTAAAATGCGATCTAGTAGATTTTAGCAGTGTCTTTGGTAGATTCCCTCATTAAAAAGTGGTCACTGGTCACGCTGTCTCTGTCTATATCTGTCACACGGTAACAAGTAACAACCAGTGTTGCCACTTTAGCGACTTTGTCGCTAAATCTAACGTGTTTTTTGTTAAGTTGGGGAGTTTAATTCAATGTTTAGCGACTAAAAATATTCTGGTGACTTCTAGCGACATTTGCACTTACTTCAATTTTTGTTACCATCTGACTATTTTAGGAGTAAGGAATACTATACTCTGTCCGTTAAAGAAATAATAAAATGTAAAGGAACCGAAACAAAGGTTCTCTGGATGTCGCTTATACAATAATAAACACATTAAAAAAGCACAACTACATTCCATCACCTATTACAAATAAATCACTTAAAATGTACAACATAAATAATTGTTATGCTTATATTACTTTTATATATATAGTAATATTAATGTTCGATAAATATATTGTTCGATTTTATCTTTGTTTCGCGTTTTTTTAATAAAATTAAATTTAGCGACATTTGGGGACTTTTTTTGTTACTAAATTCATGTAGGGACTTTTTGACGGCAGTCTAGAGACTTACGGTAATTCAATGTGGCAACACTGGTAACAACTATAACTGCTTCATAACGTAGACAGAGAAGAGAAATAGCTTGCTACATATTTATTTATCTATGGAGAAAACCGCCTAAGGGTATTAGTGTTCTGTGATGTTCTCTGTCTACCATAGATTACTGTACCTGTCTACGCTTCATAACAACTGGCATAGATAAATAAATATGTAGCAAGCTAACAACTGGTATAAAACAAACAAAAACACATGCTCATAAAGTCAAAAATCGAAATCGTCGAAATCGAATGTGATATTTTTGTTAGGTTATTTATGTAATTCAATATCTCCTTTATTATAAAAAGACAATGTTCACGTGTTGATAACAATCTCCTTTTTATTTTTAATGTAATCGTTTTTAAATTTTATTAGCAAAACATTTATTGCAAGTTTTATTTGAAAAACATGTCGCTTAGGTTCAAACCTACCGAATTACATTGTTTTAATTGGATTTACAATGTTTCCCCATGTTTTCCTATAAATAGTGCTAAAGTTAATATCATAACAGATCCCAGAAAATTTTATGATACATTGTGTGAAAGATTTAAAAATGCCAGTCGTCGCTTATCTATTGCTAGTTTGTATATTGGTACAGGAAATTTAGAGAAAAATCTCCTGAATGTAACGAAGAATAATCTTATAGTAAATAAAAGCTTAAAATTTGATGTCCTCTTGGATTTTCAACGCGGTACACGAGGCGAAATTAATTCTTGTAATCTTGTACAAGAATTGGTGGATGTTGCTCCTGACCAATGTAAGCTGGCGTTGTATCAAACCCCACGTTTACAAGGTTTCTTGTCGAGAATTCTGCCCGCTCGTTATAATGAACTTGTAGGCCTCCAACATATGAAGCTGTATGTTGTAGATAATTCAGTGTTATTGAGTGGAGCCAATTGCTCTAATGACTATTTTCAGAATCGACAAGACCGATATATTGAAATAGAAGATGTTGATCTAGCTAACTTTTACTGTGAACTAATAGGTATGATAAATGTGTAAGTTTTTACTTTGCTTTTTTGTTTTAAGTTTCATGAGTATGTTTTTTTAGTTAGCTTAGTTTTCTTATACTTATATTTTTTTCAGATGAAGTTACAATAATCAGTAAACAAGATAGTTCGGATGCTATTCTAAACCAAAATTCAAAGGAAAAAATTGTTAAAGAAACAAACAGAAGAATTGTGAATTTTATTGAGAAGTGGAAGCAAAAGCAAATTCTAAAATTGACATCATCAACAGAAGGTAATTTTGTAATGTGTTATGCTTTATCATATTTACTATTTGTTTATACATCCACTTCCAATCCACATCAAAATCCATTTTGTGGTTTAACCCCTCAATCCCCAGCTTAAACGTTGACAACGTTAGCGCATTTTGCTTGTTCATAGAAAAGTAGTCTTTAAATATAAGTATTTATGGGTTATATTGCTGTGGGTGGGTGCAGTCGGATCCGAACGCTTGGGATTTGATGGAACATCGCCTTGGTCCGATCTGACCATGTCCCCATTGTAGGGTTAAAAAATTTTATCATACACATGGCAGGAAGCTACTTTATATTTTACTATGTAGAGATGCTTATTCACTGTTATGGTAATACTTTTATTTTTGATATGGTAGTTGCAGTAAGGGGCTCAGGGCTCAGGTAAAGCCACCTAAAATTTCAGATGCTTAAAATTCAGCATGCCATTATCACTGAAATTATTGATTGCAGGTTTTATGTACTTCATCATAGTCATAATTTAGGAAGACATTAAAACAAAGCAGCAGTGTGTTAGCACTTTCTATTCCATTAACTTTGCAACCAATAAAAAGTCCATAGCTACATGTAGGCTTCCCCATATATTGCTAGGGGAGATATTTGACATAGTTGCCACGCTTAGCAAGCGGGTTGGCAATTTTATTTTTTATTTTTTAGTTATTAGGAAGATAATTAGATTATGCAACAATATAGGGTAGTAGATATTCTTACATGATCAGCTCTATTACATTTGATTGGTCAGTTCTATTTCGTTAGTTTCTATTTATTATTATAGTGAAGTTTGTTACTTGTTTTTACCAAGTTAGTCTTACATTGGACACCACTAAAAGAGCTTGAGATTGAATGTTCCATAAAGGTCCATTCATACTGAAGCAAACTTCAACTTTCAATTAAGAGTAAACTTTAACAATTATATGCTTCTTGTTGTAGATTCTAGTGATACATGGGTATTTCCATTGATACAAATGGGTGAATTTAATGTAACACAAGATGAACATGCAACTTGCAATATTCTAGAATCAGCACCTAAAGGTTCTTATATCCGATTAGCTACTGGTTATTTTAATTTAACGGAAAACTATGCAAAAATTCTTTTAAAATATTGTAAAGCTAATATAAGCTTGTTAATGGCTCATCCAAATGTGAGTAAAATATAATATGTAAAGATATATTCTATTAATATGTGAAAATAAATATGAAAGATTGGTATAGTAAATACATGAAAAATATTTCAGGCTAATGGATTTATGGGAGCCGCTGGTCCAGCAGGGGGAATACCACATGCATATTCTTTAATAGCAAGAAAGTAAGTTTTATAAACTTTAAGAACTCAAATTTCAATTACATTTTATATCTTATTCACTTATATGTAACACATAATATCTTTATCATAATAACTTAAAAATACCTTCACTCACTGGCACGGAAACTTGGCCACTCCTGAATTTGCTGATTATTTGCACTGTAATGTTTTTTTATAGTAAATTAAGGGTAAATGGATTCAATAAGTGTTTCTAATGGTTTTAGAACATAGAAATTTAATGTTAACTTCACCAAAATTTTTCTTTTCAAGATAACATGTTTTCACTAAAATTAACATCTTTCTATTGTCACTTTAAGGTTATGAGTAAAGAAACACTTTATTGTCAATCAGTTTTAATATCGAGTGTTTCCTCCTCTAGCCCTGATAACCGCCTGCATTCAATCAGGCATGCTTTGAATGATGTTTCTGACATCTACTTGCAGTATGCTGTCCCAAGTGGCCAGCACTGCATTTCAGAGCTCATTTAGAGTTCATGGCGGTTTGGAGCTGGACTTTATCTTTCTTTTGAGCTGGGGTATGCTCACATGCAAATCCAATTGATTTAAGTTCAGGCTACGAGCTGGCCCCTGTAATTTTTGTATTCCAAACTCTTCCAGTTATTCCTCTACACAATGTGCGATATGTGGGCGTGCATTATCGTGCATGAAGAGGAATTGCTCGTGTCCAATGAACCCCGAATAAGGCATTACATGCTCCTGAAGAATTTCCTCGATGTATCAAGTAGCTGTAAGCCGATTATCGACAATGACCAACTCTGTATGTGCGTCGAAACTTACAGCTCCCCATACCATTATTGAGCCTCCATGGAAACTCACAGTTTGCGTGGTGGTAATGGGTAGAAACTTCTCTCTTCTTTTTCTTTTTTTTATTCTGAAAACTTGCTTAACTTACTTTGCAACCATCCGCTAAATTAAATAAAATGATGTGTCTTCCCTAATTAAAAGAGCACCTCCCGCCCTCCCTCAACTTAACTATTGCATGCACTAATCCCGTCACCACCAATCCCAGCACCACTACTCCTAACGCCACTACTCCCAACACTATTCTAGGAAAGACACACCATCGACGATAATACGACACGTGTTTACACGAGGCATCTTCAGGTGATGTTGACTCTACGGCGGCTGACCGCTAAGGGCTGTAATTAATGAAAAAACAAGAAAAATCAGTTTTACCAACGTTGAACTTGTGCGGACTATAATGGTTTGCTTATTGGTAAAAATGTCGACAAAGTCCTCGTTCTATGTTTCTTACGCATGTAGCCAGCGGCACCAGTGTATAGACACATGTAAAATTTTAAGGTATGCGTAAATGCAATGAACACAACTGCTATAGTGTGCGGGTATAGTAAAGCCCCCCCCCCCCCCAAAATTGACAGACTTTGTTTAGGAATTAACGAACATGGCCTCTCCAGTTTTTATTTTGAATTGAATACTCAAAGGTCACGGTGTGTATATATAGAGGTCAGTGATTTCGCCAGGACATCGCTAGCACTTCTTATTAATTCGTGGCCAGGACGTTTTACAAAGAGTGTATAATCACTATATTCAACATTTTAATTGATCTACCCTAGTGTTACTTACTACAAAATTTCATCTCCCTATTTGGCATCAGATTTTGATATATCTTTACAAGTTAGTGCTTTGATGGTGATATAACTCTTTAAGTTTTATTATTTGCTATGGTAGCTTGATGTTTTGGCGTTATCAACCGTTTGCTGGATTAAGCTATCGTTATATCTACATCTACCCTCAGATAAGAATCAAAATGTAGATGTTTGCCATAAAATTCAATGATCTAATGAATTCCTCGTTTCCATTAAAAAGGTTCATCGGTTCTCTACACTCACCATATGAAACACAGCAGCATTAAGCTGCTATTTCACGCTGGTATTCTGTGAGAGCGTGATGCTTTCCCAGTCGAGTCAACCCATTCGTGCTACAACTATAATATAGCTGCAGCGTGGCTCTACCACCTAAAAAGCAACTTGTTCACTCTCATAACATAAGTGTACTACGTATCAAAAACCACTGCAAACTATTATTATTTAAACGATAATACAGGGGCAGCAAATTTGGTGCTCAAGCTCACGCTCCTTTTAAGTATCATCTATGTGTATTTAGAATTTTGCTCTACTTTTGAAATTGCCTAGTTTTGAAAAAATAATAAGAAGATACTCCTATTTTAAGTTTAAGTTAAATAATATAGCTGCAGCATGGCTCTATCACGTAAAACAGATAGATTTTCGAAATATATCAATGAATTAATACGGTGAAGTGGCATTGGCTATATAACTTGATGAACCAGCAACCAGTAGGGAAGAACATTTCTAAGTGGTACTCTTGAGACTACCTCCCACTAGATGTGATATTCTAATAAGTTTGAAGGGAGTTAATAGATTCAGGTGACTCAGGACTGTGTTTTGTGGCAATTTTTGAGGGAGGTATTTGTTCAGCAGTAGACTTGATCTGAAATTGTAGAAAGGATGATGGTCTACTGGTTGTAAACACAGTTGCTGAACATGAAATCTGCTGGGATTTGAACCCGGGAAGGGTTCGAATCCCAGGGCGAACCAAAATCAGTTATTTGAGGAAGGTTTTCTGTCAATAAATTCCCAGGAGCAGCCCGGAGTCAGGAAGTTGGCGGTGTTTCACCCTCGATAGAGAGTGCACCTGTGCTTGCGCATACACTCTAGCACTATAATCCTGTCTTGTGCTGATGGCTAGGTAGCAGCCTGGAGTAAGGAAGTTGGCAGTGTTTCACCCTCGATAGAGAGTGCACCTGTGCTTGTGCATACACTCTAGCACTATAATCCTGTCTTGCGCAAATGGCTAGGTAGCAGCCCGTAGCCAGGAAGTTAGCGGTGTTTCACCCTCGATAGAAAGTGCACCTGTGCTTGCGCATACACTCTAGCACTATAATCCTGTTTTGTGCAGATGGCTAGGTAGCAGCCCAGAGTCAGGAAGTTGGCGGTGTTTCACCCTCGATAGAGAGTGTACCTGTGCTTGCGCATACACTCTAGCACTATAATCCTGTCTTGCGCTGATGGCTAGGTAGCAGCCCGGAGCCAGGAAGTTGGCGGTGTTTCACCCTCAATAGAGAGTGCACCTGTGCTTGCGCATACACTCTAGCACTATAATCCTGTCTTGTGCAGATGGCTAGGTAGCAGCCCGGTGTCAGGAAGTTGGCGGTGTTTCACCCTCGATAGAGAGTGCACCTGTGCTTGCGCATACACCCTAGCACTATAATCCTGTCTTGCGCTGATGGCTAGGTAGCAGCCTGGAGTCAGGAAGTTGGCGGTGTTTCACCCTCGATAGAGAGTGCAACTGTGCTTGCGCATACACTCTAGCACTATAATCTAGGTAGCAGCCTGGAGTAAGGAAATTGGCGGTGTTTCACCCTCGATAGAGAGTGCACCTGTGCTTGCGCATACACTCTAGCACTATAATCCTGTCTTGCGCTGATGGCTAGGTAGCAGCCCGGAGTCAGGAAGTTGGCGGTGTTTCACCCTCGATAGAGAGTGTACCTGTGCTTGCGCATACACTCTAGCACTATAATCCTGTCTTGCGCTGATGGGTAGGTAGCAGCCTGGAGTCAGGAAGTTGGCGGTATTTCACCCTCGATAGAAGTGCACCTGTGCTTGCGCATACACTCTAGTACTATAATCCTGTCTTGCGCAGATGGCTAGGTAGCAGCCCGGAGTCAGGAAGTTGGCGGTGTTTCACCCTCGATAGAGAGTGCACCTGTGCTTGCGCATACACTAACGCTGTAATCCTGTCTTGTGCAGATGGCTAGGTAGCAGCCTGGAGTCAGGAAGTTGGCGGTGTTTCACCCTCAATAGAGAGTGTACCTGTGCTTGCGCATACACTCTAGCACTATAATCCTGTCTTGCGCTGATGGCTAGGTAGCAGCCCGGAGTCAGGAAGTTGGCGGTGTTTCACCCTCGATAGTGAGTGCACCTGTGCTCGCGCGTACACTCTAGAACTATAATCTTGTCTAGCGCGGATGGCTAGGTAGCAGCCCGGAGTCAGGAAGTTGCCAGTGTTCATCCTCAATAGAGAGTGCACCTGTGCTTGCGTATATACTGTAATCCTGTTTTGTGCAGATGGCTAGTCTCCGTTGAGCCCGGCTGTCGTGACGGAAATTCGTTCTCTAGGACATTGTTATTAATATCATAATGCTGTTATGTTAACATAATTTCAATAATAAATATTTTTAATTAAAGGTTTTGGATAAAAGTTGCTGATACCAATCAAGCAAGTCGAATATGTATGTTGGAATATGAGCGACCAAACTGGACATTCCATGCCAAAGGATTATGGTAAGTTTCTTAATAAAAATAAACTATTATTTCTGTTGTTTTAATATTCATCATATAAATGACAAAAAAACATTAAAATATAAATGAAATGTCAATATGTACAGGGTTGTCTCCGTCACTACATCAGATTTGATAGACAACAAATACCCTTTCTAAAGACAACCAATTCCTTCCAGGCGAGGAAAACTATTGAAATCAAAAACATCCTAATTTCAATAGACAAAAAGGCTGCGTGGTTCTATCTGCTTGGGATCCTATAATTAATAAAATTAAATCTCAACCCAAGCACACAACTACAAGACTTCAAGATACTATAAGTTCATATTGCGCAGATTGGACCAAAATTTAATAATTTTAATTTTATCGGAAGGTAACCGTGGTTAACTACGACATTGGTACGTCGTACACCTCAATGTCCCCCATGTCCATGGGTGCTGTAAAGTGCTCGAAATGTCAGGAATAAAAAATAAGTTAATATACTCAATAAAATTTGTAAAAACTATTTTTATTTAAATGTCTAGTGTTTGTTATTACTTTTTTGTGCTTGACATAGGTAAACAAACTCTTGAGCCCATTCTATGACGTCATTGTTAGTAAAAGTTTGAAAAGCTATTAAAAATTAACTACTGAAAATATAAAAATGACATCTTAAAAAATTTACATACTAAACTGAGATTAAGGCTAGAGAGTCTTTATGTGCCACTATATGTAATATCATTCGAAAATCATCTACATTATGTGGTCGAAATCTTAAAACTTTCTGGTGTTATTGGTGCGGCCACAGGCTGCCCCAGAAAATGATGGAGCTAAGGTTCCGGGGTCGAGCCAAAATAATTATGCGAGATTAACTATATGTGGACTGTATGTGAGATTCCCTATAACTAAACAAGATAGCGGAAGTGGCACGTGGCCGGTTTTGGGCAATGCACTTGCTAGGACCTAATTTACTATATCAGCCGGCATGGGTAGGAGCGTAAGCTGTTGTAGGGAAGGAGCGGCAACAAATGAGAACAGCTCATGCTAGGAAAGAAAGGAGATGCACTTGGCGTTGATCTTCTGGCGGGCTTTTACTCAGGCCTGTGGTTGATGGCGTTACGTTGCAGCGGCGGTGGTGCGCGACGATAAATTGCACTATGCAAAGCGATCACTATTAGGTTGTTCTGTGGCGCGACTGTCACAGAGGTGCAATCACTCGTCGACTCTCGACGGCTGGTGGCGTGTTTTTCGACCTTTCACTTTTCGGCAAGCGTGTCTCATTGGGCGTGCGAAATGACGCCATCAATCTAGCCTCCTATTGGTGTGCCCGTGCAGGAAGGATGCGGAGGTGGTAGGGGGAGGAAATACTACCAGCTAATATAGTCTACAAAATACGCGTTTCGGCGCAATCAGTTATATATTATATAGCATGAGCATCTGATTTATGTATAATGCATCTGTTTGTTTAGGTATTATCCACCTGGCAGTAACAGGCCATGGGCAACAGTTATTGGTTCGGCTAATCTAGGAGAAAGATCTGTACGTCGGGATCTTGAGGCTCAGGCTGCAATTTTTACCACATCATCAGAATTACAGGTAAAATATTGAATGTTTTGAAGTATCATAATCATATTATAAATTATAAAACTTTATTAATGTTATAGATGTTATATCAATAATGATCTTTGCCAAAAATGTTTTTTTAAAACAAATGATTCTCAGAGATTTTTTTAACATTGTTACTTTAATTGAGTTACGGGTAAAGTTGTGATAAGTGATTTTTTATATTTTTAAGTAGTGACAGGAAAAATACGATCTTTTCCTTAAATGTCAATCTCACCTGCACGCAGCATATCCTGCTGTCTGCCAGAAAAAACACTGGCAATGGCAACATATCCAACTTCAAATAAGCAGCATTAGTAGCCAGAGGTATATTGACTTTGCATTCAAATGATGGCAACAACTTCCAAAAAAATATTGGAAAATTATATAAGCAGTACAGTTAAAAAAGGCAGATTATGTGTCATGAATCATGTTTGGATCCTTCATACTCAATCTTTTGGAGACATTAAAAGATGAACTCATTTTAACATATTGAAAAAATTAATATAAAAGTTTTGTTATAAATCCATTTTTTTAACAATTTGCTTCAAATTCAGCAAATTTTTAAAATCTCGCAACACTGTCGTCGGCATCAGAAATGCAGTTGTCATTTGCATTTTTATAAAACATTATTTCCAACAAATGAATGAACGATAAGCGAAGCCTGGGGTGAACAGAAGTTAAAGTCTAGACCTCTAAATATTTTACGCGACGGGTGTCTGCGCTTAATGTGTTGTCTTGTAAGTTCCCCCTTTATTAAATAGTTTACTTCTGCATCTCGCCTGGTGACTGCCTGGAGTCCCAACCCCCCTCCCCCCTCAGAATTATTTAGAATACTACCCCAGGACGGACGACACGTGCTCGGGGCAGGCAGGGCAATAAGACAAAGGCAACCCCTGCCGCGCTACCCGTGAATTTCTGCAACATCACGGGATTTCATTCAAACCTTAACGCCGTCCACTATCATCTGGAAACGGCTCCGGCTGATATTTCACGTCTCCTACCCTGGTGACAAATTGGAACACTCCTTTGTGCCCCGGGCTGGAGTTTTCGTATACGTCAGAGAGGACATCTGTTATCGACGCCTCAGCAGCAGTCTTGAGGGACGGATCTGTCCTGTCGTCGCTGTCTATGCCATAAGATGCGAAGCGATTACAATCCCCGCGTCTATGGGTGCCTTTATAGGTCCCTTCAGTGCCTCTATAGTCACTTCCCATCAGGTGAGCCGCATGCGCGTTTGCCCCCTTTCCTATAAAAAAGTTACATAATATTTTTTTAATATGACAATATATTTAATTACAAAATTTTATATATTTTTCCATATTACGTTAATTTGTAAAATAAATTAGTGCAATAATAAAAAAGTAACGATTAATTTCTTTTTCAGGAAAGGCTGCACAAAGAATGTCTCGAACTACACAAATACGCATCCGAATGCAGTAAGGCACTGCAGGAACGTCAGGTTCCTTTATGGGTTCAAGCTGTAGTAGGCTTGTTCAGAACCTATTTCTAATCTTATGCTTTAATGAAATAGTATTATTATGCAATAATAATAACATTTATTTAGTATGATAGGATAATTGTATAAAATAAGGCTTTTTAAAGACATACATGAAGTCGTTTTCGAATATAATATATTCTTAAATCATATTTACAAGGAGTTAATCAATCTGATTAACTTCTTGCAAGAATTTACTACGTTTGTGAAAAGTAGTTTTCTTTTACAGCATTTATATGTTGCGGTTAATTTCATTTCTTATTAAAGAAAATATATTTACAAAGTTTTGAGTCTTAATCAAAGATATTATTGGTCTTAATTAAGTACAGTTGAATCCGGATAAAGGCGACTGTCAAGAGACCGGCAACATGACGTCGTACTAACCGCACGACTCACTAAACGGACAGATTATTTACAATTGAGTTAAGCGGACAAAAGTTTACTTAACTAGCAAATAGTTCTAAACGAGTAGTAAGCGTTTGAAAATAATAAATAATCAAATGCACTTGGCAAATAAGTGTTATAGTTGTAAATACAATATTAGTACCAATACTTAGATAGGATTGATTATTTTCTATATTATATTAAAGAAAAGGTTATTCAATGCATATTTATTAAAAAACTAACATAACGAAAACACGAACATAACACCTTTGTTTACTATAAACTATATTAAGTTTAGTAAGGAACAACTTACAAAGCCTCTGTGTAGTAAAAAATAAAATAGCATTATTTATATGAAATAGTGTTATTATTAAAAAAAAGGCATGCCAGTGCCACATACATGTACTTACGCACTATTTATTAATTATTAAGAATTTAGAATATTATGTAAAACCACTGAGACTCTTGCAAGTTGTGTTTTTATACCACCAATTTTTCCTTTTGTAATTTTACTCTTGTGATTCATGTTACATCTAATGGACACTTTTGGGATAACATCACATTTTTTACTAGAGAGACTTCCAGAAATGGCGTGTAGGGGTCATAGATTGTCTTAAATATCTGCCCTTTGGCATCTTAGATGTGAATCCACTTGATATTAATTTTAAAATAGATTTTTGGTTTTAATTTATTTGTTAAAATCGTAAAAGTGGTGATTCATATCCCCAATAACCGAATTTCTTTTTTAATGTCATTCTAATTATATATATTTCTGTAATTATTAAGAGTAAATATTTTTTCATTTCTTTTTAAAAAAATTCTATGTTGGCAATTACAAGGCCTGTTACAATCTCAAAATATGTGACCTACTTCTGGAAATTTGCATTTAATAGATGCAAACATTTTATGTGAAATCATGTACTGATATAAAACAATTAGAAATTGATTTTTATTTTAAGAATCTGACCATAGTAACAGACCAGTGTTGAGAACTTTTCAAACTAGTTAGATTACTTAAATAGTAAGAAAGTGAAAACTTCTATAGTACCCTTTCCACTACAGTCTTGTTTTTGTACTTCAAATGCTCTTTGGTGTGCGTATTTGAATCACATTTGTTACACAGATCAGTTCTAGGCTTTTCTAATTGCCTCAACATCTTGTTTCAGTGGTCGTCCTCGTTTGCGTGTAGTCGGAGTATATACTTTAGAGTCTTTGTGCATCAATACATCTGCTATGGTTAATTTGAGGTCAAGCAATGCAATGTAAATATATATTCCCTATCTGTTTTATGACTCTCCGCCGTAATAACATAATAATCCATTTTAAAAGCGACAATAGCCTAATGGCAAGGCGCGGATCGCGAACTCAAAAGGTCGTAGGTTCGAATCCACCATTTGACTACTGTCGTGAACCACTCCTAACACAAGCGTTTCAAGCTTACCAGGAGTGGTTAAAAGGAATATTAGTAGTTAATTAATAAGATCACTAATATTTGAAAAAAAAAAATAAACAACTATTCACGCAACATAGATCAATGAAATGGAAGAACAAGCGGTGGTACCATTTTCTACTGCTGATTTTGATCCTATAGAAGCCTAACATAGCATGTAGTAAATCGACACCGCCCATCTATTTGTTATACATAGTCATTGCTTTTCACGTGACAGCAAAGAACAACAACCCTACACTTACGTTTTTTAGAATATCTTTTCACAACTCCCATAGGTTCCTTGCCTACTTAAGATGAACACAAACTGGCTGCTTTATTGTCGACCCAAATGGTAACTGATAGCTTAACGTCATCAACAGCAACACTTTTTCCGAAGCAAGAACCTCGTTCTTTCTTTTCTAAAGCTTTTTAAGTTACATTTAGGTATATTTGGAGCTCTTCTCGGTTGTATTGTGCCTAATGGTAGAATACCTTTTTTGTGCAAGTTTGCCGTTAGCTGCAAACTTGTGTACCTGTATCGACAAAAATCTTGTGGTTCAAATTGTCTGAGACGGTCTTCAATAGTTATTGAACCACATTTCCTGGCACTCCAAGATCGGGACAGTTTTCAGGGTATTATTCCTCGGAATAATTCAAAGTCGTGACTAAATCCACTGACTCTGTTTAATACGTAATTCATATAACTCCACTTATGGATTTTTTTTATGTGCGAGCAGCTATGCAGTCTAGGGAAAGAGACCAGTATCACTGCGACCTAAAAGATCTATTGTGATCGCTGCTATGGCCTTAGTTCACGCCTAAGCCCTATGTCTTCATTGAATAGAAGGAGTCGCTTAGCCGTGAGCAATTTCACTTCTTCTGGGCGGAGTACATAGTTTACCAGATGAGTGTTACGTTTGCGCATTAAGGGTCCGCAATCAGGATGTGTATAGGCATTTCTTCCGTTATGGAACAGAACCGACACATCGTGGAGTTGCTTAGTCCCAGGATGGACATGTGCTTTTTAAGACAGCAGTGTCCAGTTAGGGCTCTTGCCAGAATGCGCAATTTATTTTTACTTAATCCCAGGGCTTTTGAAGCGAATTTACGATCAAAAGCCTGGATTAAGGTTTTAGAATGTTTTAAGCCTGGTGTGTCACACCGGATCTTAAGTGATTTATTGTGATAAAGAGTTTCAAGGGTCAATCGGGCTAGGCTTCTTGAGATTCCACAAAATGGCTCAGGTCCAAATTGTGTGCACTTTGAGCCCTCCCATGCAAGTTTGTCGGCAATTCATCTTAAAACGACCTTGTTGTTACGTCCCAGGGCGTTTAAATGGTTCACGCAGTCTCCAACTAGCTTCGAGTTCACTAAATTTGACCTCAGCGCTAGCAGTGCTGCTTGACTATCAGAGTTTATGTAAATTATATGGTTGACGTAGTGTTTTTGCAGATTGATTTCCGCACACCGAAGTATGGCGAAAATTTCTGCCTGGAAGATAGAGGTGTATCTACCCAAATTCATACTAAGTTTGAATTTGGGGAGTTCCCCGTAAATTCCAAAGCCTACGTCGAGACCAATTTTAGACCCATCGGTATACCAAATGAGGCTACCGACCTCACAGATAACCTGGCCATTCAGCCAGTCTTCTCTGGAGGGTAATTCCACTATATACTTTTTATCAAAAGTGTGTAGTGGACGCATGATATCTGAGATCATGCATAAGACCAGTGATTTCTTAATTGAGTCGAGCATGGATCTCAATGTGTAGGAGAGCAAGCTCAGACCGCCCTGGGCGTTAATCCTATACAAACCAGCCCTCGCCTGCTTGTCTAGATAAAGATCAAGGGGCGTTAGGCATAGAAGTGAATTAAGAGCCGCTCCAGGCGATGATCGCATAGCTCCAGTTGCCATTAAGCAGGCAGTCCTTTGTAGATTGTTTAGTCTGTCCGCAGTCGCCTTTTGGTTGGCCTTGTTACACCAGACAATAGAGGCGTAGGTGAGAATCGACCTCACTATGCTGCTGTACAGCCATAGGACCATACTGGGACGCAAGCCCCAGTTGTTCCTGACCAAACGGCTGCACATACCTAAAGAAATTTTTGCCTTATGGCATACGTTGCTAAGGTGAGAGTTCCACGTTAGTTTTTGGTCGATTGTTACGCCCAAGTACTTAACTTCCGAGGAAAATGGTCTTGTCCAACCGTCTCTTTTTGGTAAAGGGTATTATAACAGTTTTATCAGCATTAACTGATAAACTGTTATCCCTACACCAGTTATTTATGGTGTTTAGGGCTCTTTGTATTATTGACGATAAAGTACTTTCGCAAAAGCCCCTCGCAATGATTACAAGGTCAATACACTGTGTCAATGCGTAGGTCTGCAATTTTGTACAATAATTGGTCAACCGCAAGAGTCCAAAGAAGGGGTGACAAAACACCTCCTTGTGGGCAGCCTCTTGTAGTTGCAACCTCAATCGAAGTTTGAAACAGCGCTATTTTTGCCTTTCTGTTTGAGAGCATCGACTTCACCCATCTGATGGTTGTGGGGTCAATATTTTTAGATGTCAGGCCCCCAATCAGCAGTGATGTGTGGCTACTGTCAAAAGCGCCCTCTATCTAGAAAGGCACAAAGAGGTATTTCTTTATCCTCCATTGCTTTTTCGACCCTGTCAGTGACACTGATCAGGGCTGTTTCCGTAGATTTGCCTCTGCGGTACGCATGCTGGTATGGGCCTCGTAGCTAGAGCTGTAACCGTTTCCAATGTCTTAAGGGGAAAGGAAGATAGGCTTATAGGTCTAAAGGACTTTAGTAAAGGGTAGTCCTTTCACCAGCCTTAGGTATAAATAGAACTTTGACAATTGTCCATCGTTCTGAAATATATCCCCATGCAAAACTTGCTCTGAAGATTTTCACCAGATAAGGAAGAAGGATATCGATACCCCTCTGTAGTTGGATGGGAATTATTCCATCCTCCCCGCTTGATTTAAATGGTTCAAAGGAGTCAACAGCCCACTGCACCAGGTTTGGCCTTATTATCTTTCCAGCCCTACACCAGCACTCATTACAAGGCCTTCGTAGGGCTCTGAAATAATTCACGGCTGAAGACTTGTGTGACCCTGGGAAATGGGTTGACGCTAGTAACTCCAATGTTTCTGTTTCACTATTAGTGAAGTTACCATCCGGCTTTTTAAGAAGCCCGATCTGATTAGGTTTAGCTTTCGATAGCATTTTGTGTAGTTTTGCACTACGAGGCAAAGACTCAACTTCCTCGCACGGATTTCTCCACGATGCTGTCTTGGCTTTCCTAATTTCTTTATTATATTCAGTTAGGGTTGCACTATAAATATCCCACTCTTTGGTTTTCTTAGCCCTAATAAATAATTTCCTGGATTTTTCCCCTAAGGTCTTTTAGCTTAGTATTCCACCAAGGAACTTTTCGCGTTGAGGTCTTGGTTTTGACGGGACAACTGTCCTCGAAGGCTTCACGTATACCTACCGTCACTGTCTCCGTCGCTAACTCCAGACCTTCAATTGTTTTGATGCTTTTAGGGAACGTTTCTAAATTCCTCCTTAGGATATCTCTGTAGATATCCCAGGAGGTCACTTTTGGATGCCTAAAAGTAACGGTTTCATAGGTTGGTGTGCTCCAATCCAATCCAATGGACCAGCCGCATCTGCTCTACGCTCATAGGATTCGAATTGCGAATTCCTATACGCGCAGAGCCAGCTACGGCACTGAAGCTGACCTTCTTCTCCCCCGTTGCCAGCTTCACATACTTCCTGGGCTGGTTTTTGGAGGACTCTTCCTCAGACCGACTGCGCTTTTTCGCCTTCGGAACTGGGGGAGGCTTCTGGCAGAGAGGGCCTCTTCGGCTCATATCTCAGCTGCTATTAGCCTTCGGTACCTTTTCTTTGCTGCCCCTCTAAGCTTATAAAGCCTAGCGAACTTTTTCTTTTTCCCTCCCTGGTTCGTTTCCTATTGTGGTTCGGCTGCAGACGTGCCCTCCACTTCACAGCTCGTCCATGGTTGGGGCGCAATATTGCAGGGTGTTGGTGAGGCTAAAAGAGCCTCTTCCAAACCTACAGCTAATTCCATTAAAGGAGATTTCTCAATATCTTTTCCAAAATGTCGGTTTACGTCCATTATGTCGGTTTTCGTCCATTTTGTTCCCACGATTAGCTAGGGAAATACTCGGTCACCCCCGGCAGAGCCCCGCATGCCGAGGGAAGGGCTAAAATACTACCCGAATCGCCCTGGTCTCGGGTAGGCACCGTTTGCGTCTGGACTCCCTCCAGCCACGCATCCATCGGCACGGTACGCTTGACACCTTGGATTGGGTTAGGATAGGAAAAGGGGGTGTTTAAAAGAAAAGAACAAGAGGATCGTCTGAGTGTTTCTGTTCTGTCTGTTTCCTATTGAACCTTTTTTTTTGCGGTATTCGGATGTAGGGCCATCAGAATTTTTTTATTGTATCTACTTGAGAATATGTCTCGTTCAAATATTGTAGTGTTTGTTTTAAATGAGCCCATATGGTCTCAGGAGTTTATATATATTTGCTGTAGATACTGAAAATGACTGAGGTTTATTTTCATTTTTTATGTAAAGCACACCAGTGTGCAGAGTGATTTGAACCTTAGATGATCCGAAGTGCATGGCTTGAATTTCTGTATGCATCTTGAAAACATAATTTTCAGAAAAAATGCCAAATTTATAATTTTTGAACAGATGTCAAATATTGTTTAAGTGATTTAGAATTTTTTTCATATCTGAATTAGTTACATTGATCAATTATTGTATAGTTCTTTTATAGATCAATCCTTCTCTCTCCGCCTTTACCATTTTGTTTGCTGTCTTTTTGTTTACTTTACACAGCCATACAATTTTATCATTTAGATTGAAATCCGTTTCATTAGCAGTAATGATATTGTGATTAGAAGATTGACACAAACCAAACATGCGAGTCTCAGATGATAGACCACAAACCAGTTTCGACGTAACATAATTGAGGTCATCACTTTCAAGGATTACCAACTACTTAAGTCTCTTTGCCATAAATGACATATTAGAGTGTAAAAACAAGCACATGTGTCACGGTCTGAGATTTTAGGTGTGAGTATATTAACAGGTTCACTGTCCACAGACCACATATGGTCTGTATACTAAACTACACTACCAGTCTACAGACCATATGTGGTCTGTTCATCAATACAACTTCCAGGCTGTTTTTATCAGTGGACGTGGGGAGAACGTCGTTCATTTGACATGGACTTGACAGAACATACCCTATATATTACAAATAGTGTTGGGACATAGGGAACAGATGTGCCGTTTTATCGTAATTGCGATTTAAAAAAAAAATGTAATATCGAAAACAAAGTTACCTATGTGCATTTTATTGCATTTTCACTTTAAGCTAAATAAATAATGAATATGTAAAATAAAAAATACAATGTAATGAAAAGTAAATAGTTATTTATTGAAAAAGAAAAAAAAGTACCAAAAAGTAAAAAAAAATTAAATGTTCATATTATTATGTTCTTTTTGGAAACATTGTAGACAATACGATTTGGTACAGATGTTGCATATTTGTGAAACCCTTTTGGCTTTATTAGTGGCAGCTGCTGATGTTTCCCCTTTTTGACGAAACTCATTATAGCATCCGGCACATCTACGTCTGGTAATTTTGCCATCTTTTCTATCCAGCTGTTTGAGAAAATGCTGTGCTTGTGACGTAGACGGCGCCGGCGGCGCTGGTGTGGCCGGTGTCTGGACAACGTTCATACCCAAAAGATTTTTTATAATACAAATTTGGGCCTGTAATAACGTACATTTATTCTGCTGGTTCAATTTATTGAACAAATAAACTGTATTTATGACACCCACTCCAAATAGGACATTGACAGCAATTTTTTTGTACTTTGTGTCATGTCAAAGTCTTACGAAATGGCGAATAGTAGCTAGCTAATTCGTCAGAAAGATCGATACCTTTTTTTCGATTATTGTATTCCAATATCATATTAGGCTTTGGACGCGGGTTTCGACCTGTACTCATCGTTTGTTCATCTGCGTGACAAGTAGATATCATGAGCACGTCCCTCTTGTCATGCCATTTTAGGATCGTCACATTATTTTTTTGAGCAGCAATTTGCTCTCCTCTCTTCAGTTTCTTGTATTTAATCAATAAAGGTAAGTTTTACGATTTTTCCTCAATGTCACTCTATTGTGAAGAGTCAAAATGTGTCGAAAAAGGCACGTATGGCAATTCACAATGCTGTGTTGGTCCCTACTTTAACGTATGGTAGTGAAAGTTGGGTGTGGCAGAAGAAGCACGAGAGTAGAATAAACGCAGTAGAAATGCGGTCGTTAAGGAGTATGTTAGGGCTGAATCTGAATGACAGGGTAAGAAATTGTGTAATAAGAGAAGAGTGTGGTTTGCAAGATGATGTTGTGACCAGGATTAAGAAAGGAATGCTTCGGTGGTTTGGTCATGTGGAAAGAATGAATGAGGAAAGAGTGACAAAGAAAATTTATGTTGCAGAAGTGAATGGCAGAGTCGGAAAGGGACGTCCTAGGCGAAAATTTATCGACCAAATTGGCGATTTATTGAAAACGGGCCAAATTAGGAGTACCCTTAACCGACGAGCATGTATGCGTAGGTGTATGGATGTGAAGGAGGCGAGAGAGGTGTATCAGGATCGTGCCAAATGGAAGTCTGTAGTCTCTGCCTACCCCTCTGAGTGACAGGCGTGAGTGTTTATGTATGTATGTCCCACAAAGATCAGTTTTACGTTGAAGCAAGTATTCAGCTAATGGTATACTTGTATACCAATTATCTGCTATAATCATTCTCCCCTGGTCCAAAAGGTCTTCACAAAGCTCGATAATAACACTTCCAGGTTTATCAAGATTGGAGATTTGAGGATCTTGGCCAGAATAAACTATATATTTCCAAACATACCCATCATCAGTTGTGACTTTGTAGATCTTGAGTCCATACTTGTGAGTTTTGTTTGGATTATACTGACGAATCAGCAGTCGGCCTTGAAAGGGAACCATAGATTCATACACAACAACGCAGTCTTTTGGCGAAAGCAACTTCCTGCAGTTTCTCATTACAATGTCTATAACTGGTTGGATTTTATACAAGCGATTATTGACATCTCTTTCAATTGTATTGTCAACGAAATGCCAGCAGCGTAAAATTGCTATGAAACGATTGTAGGACATTTGTATCTGATGCAATAGAGGATGATAAAAAATGGGATCTTTTTTCCAGTAGCATTCTAATGTAGGGAATCTGATTATACCAGTCAGCAAGTAAATGCCCATAAATTTTTCCATTTCTTCCTTGTTTACCGGTCTCCAGCGGCTCAAACGACCTCCAGAATTATTAGCAATCAGTTGTTCAGCGTACAGATTGGTTTGTTCTATCACAAGGTCAAAGAAATTGTCATCAACCAAAAGACGAAAAATTGTAAACACATCTGCATTTTCTGGAATGTTTTCAGTTTGTATAAAGTTTTCTGAGTTACTAAAAATTTGACGAACTAATGGCTGAATGTCGTAAGTCCATCCATTTTCCTCATCATGTTCTTTCATTCGACGCTCTGTAGGTGGTATTGTGCCAGTTGGAGCTGCATTCATTTCAATGTCTCCGTCGTCGTCAGAATCGGAATCAGGTGGTGCGGTTATTTGGATTTGTTGTGAAGTGTCATTAGAGTTACGAGACGTCGACGGATGAGATGTCACCATACTTTCAAAAATATCATTATTCATATCTTGTTCAATCGAATGCTGAATATTTATATCTCGTAGACTTGATCGATCAGGTGACAAATCATGAGGAATAAAATCGGGATCGGCTACACTATCATCATCGTCAAAATCAGGCACATCACTACGGCCGTCGGTATCATTTTCTTCTTCATCCGACGAATTTGACTGGCTATTTTGTTTGTAATCACTCTCTTCTAATATTCTTCCCAACTCTTCGTCCGTACAGTATTGTTTTTTACTCATTTAACCATTTAGCCACAATAACTTATAAATCAGCGAAACAAGCTCAAAAATACAAACACGTTTGCTTTGTTTTGACTTTCTACTAATGTCATAATCATTTTGTCAATCAAGTTGCTTATTTCACTTATGTCATCGTAATCCATAATTTGTCTATGGTAATTTCTTATTTGATACAGATAAAAAATAATATAACGACAAAAATACGCACAGACCACATATGTTCTGTGGACTCATCGCAACTTTTGGTCATTTTTGTTCTAGAGAGTCCACAGACCATATGTGGTATGCTTTAAAAAAATATTTTCCAATTACATATAAGGTAAACGCACCAGTCATGGTCACTTTAAGATATTTTAATTTTATTTTTCGATCTTTTGTTATTTAATTAAAACCAGATCTGATTCAAAACTATTGGTATTGATAAATTGGTCTTTAATAGAAAAGTCAAAAAGTAATTTTAAAAAGTTGTTGTTGACAGAGCCAATGATGGTCGGCCGAAAACCCAATGTTGACCCACCATTTATGGTTTGCTCCTATTATGGCCAACACCAATTATGGTCACTAAGCTTATTATTACGCTTTTATTCATAATAAAAGAAACTAAAAAAATGTGTTTTATATTTATAATTCTGAACTTAGAATCTTACAATATTCTTAAAATCATATTAAAATCAAAATGAGATCAAAATGAGACAACGTCGTTAAAAGTAAATAACATTTATTCCTAGGCTAGATTTCAGTCTCGTTATTAAGTGTTGAATCATAAGATGTAATAGTAAGAAGGTATATCTTAAAACTTTAAAATTATAAAAACAACAAAATGGATATTTTTTAACCTTTCTTATCATTCCCTTCCTTCATTTATTATAATTAGCCGATATTTTATAAATCAGTAAATAGGTAACTAAGTATTTTAAAAGAGGTACAACGTTTACAAAACTACTACAAGATTAACAAGCTTTAATTTTAAGAAAATGGAACATTAAATTTATACTTTAAGGCACCGTAACTGAATTTTAGTATGTTTAAATATTTATATATTATCCATTTCTGGAATAATAAAACAGCCTTTTTTTTGCAAACTTAGGAATTGCTATTTGGCATACAATACTATCCCAACTATATAGTTGTAAGTCTTTTATCACAGGCCAGCGCCAAAATTCTTTGGATTTTTTAAGGCAAGATACTAGCGCCCCTTCTTCAGTCACAGAAACAATTTGTCCTGGGTATTTCCTTTCATTCCAAATAACTATTACATAATCGTTAGCAGAAACGTTGCAAGAAACGGAAGTATTATTTCCTTTTGGAATTCCACAACGCAACTTTTCATTTAAATTTTTATCTGATGTAACAGAAAAGTTATAAGGCAACTGCTCTACTATAACTTTAGGTGATACTATATCTTCATCAGACGTTTTTGCATCAGCTTGTTCCAAGGACAGCGGAAGTGAAATCGAGTCGCCTTGAATATCTGACTGCCTTTGATTGTTATTGCCATTTTCATTCATAGTGTTTTTTAGCTTCAAGTCCATAAGTGTTAGATCTTCATCAGATTCATCTTAAACGGTGATGGCACCAGAATTCCTTTATTAAGCATGTGATGAGCAAAACTTGCAGTAGATGAAGATGGTATTATCTCGTTTTGATCTACTGCAATAGCAGAAGATGGCAAAGGTGTGACTTTGGTCGGAGTTTTATGCGCAGAAGTTAAGTCACTAATAGCGCATTTAGAAAGCAGGTCCTGATTTTGCTTAGTGCCACATTTTTCACTGCCCCTTTCTATCTTACTATTGTTAGTAGGCCCGAAAACATCTTTATTTTGAAGTGTTTCTGCAGAAGACCTTTCAGATGTCGTAGAATTATCATCGTGGCATTCCACAGGAGGAACAGATATCAGAGGCACGATTTCAGAAGAAGTCGTTTGTTCAGAAACAGTTATCATTCGGGTTGTATTTTGCTCAACACCTGGTCTATCATCTTTTTTATTAGTAACAGCTTATGTATTGCTTTCAGAAACAGTAACTGCACACAAATGTTTATATTTGGCCCAGATAGTGTACATTGTCAAATCTTCAGTCGGCAATACATCAGCTAATTCTGACATAGGTAAGTAAAAACATTTGTTAAAGGTGTCTAGTTTAGACCGTTTAAATATCTTTACGATTTCTGCTTCGAGTTGGCTTAAAAAAGCTTGGTTTTTTGTAGAATCACAGGCGCTTTTACTTGTCGATGCTCTGTTTTGGATGTTTAACTTAGTAAAGTCTACTAGGTCTGGGCCATAAGGAAAAAGTCCTCCCACTCGAAACCCATTTTTTATGCAGTCCGGAGTTATACTTTCTAATGCACGTTTTAGTATTGGGGCAAAGTTTTCTTTTTTCACTTGCTCTCCCAAATTTTCAGTCTTCCATTTTCTTGTTTCCTGTCGCCAAAACAGTTTCAGTGGCCTAAATACCGACACATCCATGGGTTGCAGCAAGTGAGTACTGTTTGGGTATAGAGCGATAACTTCAATTTGTTTCTCTCTGCAGAAATCTGACAAATGTTTAGTCAAATGGGAAGCATGACCCTCCAGAAAAAAGATTATGGGAACTTCGTTTTGTTTTGAACCAACCAGGGATGTAATATATTGGTTACATATTCGTAGAATGTACTCCCGCACATCCAGCCGTTTTCTGAACGGCCAATGCCCCAATTTTCAGGAATACTTTCGGCAATAGCTCGGGGAATGCGTTCGTAAGAGAACACTATCATTGGTGGTGCTAACTGTCCAGCTGCATTGGCTGTCAAAAGAACTGTAAGGTTTTCTTTTTCGTTCCCTGACGTAGAATATATATTTTTTTCTCCTCTTTTAACTAAAACACGGTCAGGTTTGGGATTTAAGAAAAACGCGCTTTCGTCGGTATTAAATATCCGCGTTGGATCCTTCAAAACTTCTGGAAGATTATTTTCTTCTAAATACTTCTCTACGTCTGCAAACCATTTGACTATATGTTCTTCTTTTAGATTCTCTTGATGTGGTTAAGTTTTGTGAAACTCTCTCAGATATTTCTGGATGTCTTTTTAAAAATAAATCGAACCATTTCCTCCCTGGTCTGTCATTGCCTGCCTGGATTTTTTCTATTAGCAGATTTTATAATTAGTTGAACAGAATCTAATAGCTGTTCCTTTCCTATCGGGCAATGTCGTTCTGCCATTGCAAACAACCATTCTTTTAATATGGCTTCCTCATTCATAGAAAGTATTGTAGGAGGACCCATATGACAGATAGCAGGACTCTTTCCCATTACTTTATTCCTTAAGGTCATTCTCGGTACACCATATTTCTCAGCTGCAGCTGAATAACTGTCCCCTTTTCTAACAGCTTCCATTGCAAGGCACATTTGATGAGGCGTGTAGTTTTCCTTTGGTGCCATCGTTACCTTATGAAACAAAGAAATCAAATTTATAAAAAATATCTATTTTGCAAAACAATACACCCTTTTTTGGACAGTCGTGTATAAAGGATAAAAACTTAATTGTATAACAGCAAAAAAATTATATAATACTCCATTATAATGCAAACATTATGGTCTGTGATCCAGTCATGGTCACTCCAATAATGGTAACTATGACCATTACTGGATCGGTATGTTCAAACGAGGCGCTGATAAAATTTGAACTCGTTTCTGTGGATAAACATTCTAAATTTTATGAAAAAAGTTAAAAACCCTATTGTGCCCATCATGCTCAATTTGACCATCATTGGAAATATCATAAATCGACGTTCCAGTAATGGTCAGTTCAGTTTAAGAAGTCTACAAAACAGAAATATGTGCATTTTTTGGTGTCATTCATCACATAGGTATGTTACCTTAAGTATCAAAACAAAGAAATATCTCAAAACCCTTATATAATTATAAAATAATAAACAGAAGTACTCACCAACCTTATTAAAAATAACACTAATTATATAAATTCACTACCGCATTCTGTTCAAGGGCCCGCCATGTTGCAAATGTCACGTGTCAAAATGACAAACGTCATTTTTTCACAAGCTGTGAAAGTATCTGTGCAAAAAAAAAGCAGTGTCTATGGTTTATCACTAAATGTTGCCATTTTCCCTACAACGTTTAGTTTTCTTATTTTCCCGTTTTTTTCGAAATTGACCATCAATAGAACGCTTACCAAGACTGGTACAGTTACCTTATATGTATTTCACAACATTATTTATTTATTTATACCCATAAGATACCAATTTTCACATAAACATAACTGGACTTCTGAGCAATTTTCACTCTCTAACCTGGACAGTGAACCTGCTAAATGATCTATATTTTTAAATGTGTTTAATGAGAACTTTCCACCTTCAGAATAATATTTTTTATAGTAGTCAACAGATATCTGTAATTTTATTTTATTTTTAGTTTTACACTCTTTTTTTCCCTGCCGTTGCACGGCTATTATCATCTGTTATAAAATTTATTGATTTCGTTTAATATATTGCTTTTCCTTATTTTTTTGTCCCTATTGTTTCTAATGTTAGTTTTGAGACCCAATGTATATTTAAGTAAATTTTTTTTCTATTTTGTTAGTTACAATTATTTTCAGTGTTCTTTTCCGTTCCAACAGATTTTTTGTATTATTCTTCATTCAGTGATTTTGACAAAACGTTGTGTTCCAGAAGCTTCCTTTTCACTATCTGTTTTTTCAAGGCGTCAATATTCGTTAAATTCTCTTTTATGAAGTTATATGCTTGCTTCATAGATGTTTTATCGTCAATCCCTTCACTTCAATTCTTTCATGTTTCGAAAATTTCAATTTACAGATATAAAATTATAATTTTATTGACGTCTTGTTCTACAGTTCCAATGTGCATTAGGCTTTACATCACTTTCATGTTACGTAGCATAAAAAAAAACAACAACGATAACAAAAGTAACTTAAAACCTAACCTCTTTTCAAAAAATGCTCGAATCTACGACACTGTGATGAAGACTTAACAACGTTCATAGCTTAAAGCTCTAATTTTAAACATTATATTTACTAAAGAATCTGTCGATTTTAACAAAAGGATGCAAACTAACCATAAAATTATATAAAACTTTTTTGCGCTGAACGCAAACAAGATGCGAGCCAGATTTAGTAACACAACACGTCAATAATGGCCGAGAAGTAGGGAATGCAATTCCGCAAGATAATTTCAATCCAGGTATTTGCTGGATTGAACCATCTTAGTCCCGCTGGGTCCAGGTATTTGATGGATCCAGCAGGGTGGAACTAGACCTCTGAAATCTAAATTAAAGACTTCGTTTCCATGGTTTTAATTTGAAGCCAAATAAAACAAGCCTTTTGGTATATTTTAAATGGTTTATTTATTACTTTAGACATACAGATGATGACATAAATTGCGGTGATAATTAAACATTATTTTGGAAGTAGCTTCTTAAAAAAGTTAAAGTATTAATTGTGTCATCAGCTAAACAGCTTCTGATATTGCACACAAGGTAGCCAGCAGCTGAAAAAGCCCGCTCAGCTTCCACGCTGGTTGGTACAATAGTCATAAGTGCGTTATAGGCGAACTGAAGGTAAGTGCCTTTTAATCCACCCGACTCGAAATAGTTCATTTCCTTCTTTATCAAAACCTCAAGGTTACTCATACTTCCAGACCTAGGTGGCTGGGCTGTTGAGCCAGGACTTTTGATACTAGTCAAAGTAAGTTCGAGTTCGTTTTCAAGTGACATTGGTGCTGCGGCTGCCGTTTGCGTCTCGAGATTAGAGAGAGCGATGTCGCCATAAGGATCATCAACAGGAGTAGTGGTTACTGCATTGCTTCCTGTGTACTCTAGCCTTTATACTATATTTTTGATGGCCTTGCGTATTACACTCTTTGGAGGTAGATTGAATGTTTCATCATAAATAAATTGACTTTTGTCTCCTTCGTACTTATGTGGATCATGTAAGTATAATAAAACCGCTGTCAAGTCAGTTCGCCGCTCTGAGATCCGTTTCCTCAACGAATCAACTAGTTTTCGGGCTAACGGTTTATTAATATTTATCAGTTTGCTAATAATAAATCTCAAAGTAGTTTCCGCAGTAATCAAATTAGACTCACGTCTACACAAAACTTCGACTGCTAATTTTACCGGCTGTAATATTCGTTCTAGATCCATTAGCACATCATATTCCTGTTCAGTGAAAACGTAGTCATGATTTGCACCAAGACCTAAGTCAATCAGGGTTTTCGATACTCACGATCTTATTTTGTTGAATATTGTTATTTCGCACAGGCTTGACTACCTTGTTTGACAATCCAACAAGCAATATTTTTTCCCATGTCTTTTGCACGTCTGCAGCAGATCGTTTTTTGGTACGTGAATTTTTAAATAGTTTTACTACTTTTCGTACCTTCTTAACAACTTCTGCATATTCCACAGTCAGGTTTATTTCACTTGTAGGTGTAGGAAAAGACAAATCAAAAATGTCATTTTCGTCATTTTCCAAGTCATTGTCACAATTCTCATCAGCTCTTTCACTAACTGTCTCATTTCGCACTGACATTTCTTCATTTGATGCTTCGTGGCCAATACGTGAAGAAGTATTTTGTTTATAAATAACATCCAAAACAGCCAATTGGATGCCATGTGCATAACAGAGTTGTTGATGGGGTTTGATGAGTTTCCCAACTTTTACCATCACTTTGGCACCATCTGTGGTAATACAGATTACATCCTTATCCAAAGATAGCTCGTATTCTGATAATTTTTCTTTTAAAACAGTGATACATGTTTCTGCAGGTAGACTTCCGTAAATCCGCACCAGCCCTAAGTTCCAAAAAATAGATTTTTCATTAGCCAAGGCGTGAACATTGACGTTTAAATAGCGCCTATTTCTCGGTGAAGTCCATTCGTCGAATGTGAGGGTGAATTTGTGGTTGCTCTCTTTCAGCTTTAGAAGATCTCGAATAATGGTAATTTTTACAGTCGTGCCGAAATGCATAACCATTAATTTGATAGAATTAGGCGATTTTGGTAACTTATAGCCCCCGGCTTTAAAAAGGTCTCGTAAATCCGACGAGGTGCAGAAAACCCGGAATGAAAAACCATCTTTTGACACCATGCGTGATACCCTCGTTTCTACAGCACTGTTTGCACTTGGAAAATGGTCAGTGATTTTGTGCTTCTTTGCCGAGGTTGATGGTTGAGCTTCACAATGAGTCGATGTCGAGGAACTAGACGTTGACGCAGTTGCAGAAGCTGCAGCACTTCCGCTCCCGTCTGATGCGCTTTCCTTGTCAATTTTGTGTTTTGACTTTAGATGCACATGTAAACCTTTTATCGAACGTCCGGTCGTTTTAATTATTGATTTACACAACTTACATTTTGCGGTTTGTGAATCTTCGGCCTTCAAAAAGTACTTCCATACAGGAATAATACCACAAAAGTCTTTATACACTTTTTCCGACATTATTGTCACTCATTAAATAATACAAAACCTGGAAATTTCTCAGTTTATTCAGATTTATCTAAAGAAATCAATATTCTATGAAAAAATCATTGCGTAACGTCATAATCACCAGTTGTAACTCGCAAAATATTAAGTACACAAACAAAGGCGGGGTAATCCCCGCGCCCTCACACTGTTTCTCTGCACCACGCATCGCTTAGCTCAGTTTACGCGCCGCCGCGCACAGAGTACCTTTGTATATGCCGCCGCGCGAACATTAACACGTATGGACCATGCTTCTCTGTAATCCCGCCAATCCAGCGGGATTCCGTAATATTTTCGTACGGATTAGTCCCGCAAAAGCATGCGACAGGTCCCGGTGCACCTACAAAAAAACCCTGTACAAAAAAAAAAAAAAAAAAAAATATTATGATGACCGGTGGAATCAAATTAAACTTAATAATTAGTTAGTATATGGGGTATCATTTGGGACACTTATTTGTTCTAGTAATTTGATGTCTCGCAGTAAAAATTATTTAAATTAAAAGAAGTATTTTTTGCAACGGTAAAAATACTTCTTTTTATTTAATTCAATCAAGTATTTAAAATACTAGGAAAAATGATACTTTTTCCAAGGAAATTTATATAATTTAATAGTATTATTTTATGATCCTAAAAATTATTTTTAGCGGCCTTACCCTAATATATTATAAAATCTTAAAATAACAACATTTGTTCAATTTTACTACAGTCTCTAATGCAGTCAACCAAAAAAGAATAACATTTTCCATCTTTTATTTTACGAATCACTTCATCGATAAGTGTTTTTGACATCAATCTGATCAATTCATTTTGAATATCGTGGCTTAAATAATGATGTGCAAGTTGTTTGTCAATAATGCTTTTCATATGTTCACGTAAAGTAGTATCAAATTTTGACATCAATTTAAATAAGTCAATAAAGTTACTAGAATTTCTAGAGTCGTCGTCTGTCTTGATAGATTCTATGTGACATCTAAATGCGAGAATATGAGAGGCTTAGAAATTAATAATATCAATTAATCTCTTAAACAAATTGTACCATTGTTTTTGAGATTCACGAATTAGGCTCTCGTTTTCCTGATCTATCGTTTTTTGTGTTTAATTCCTTTCTCTAATGTAATCCATTGGAACATGAATGACATATGAAGGGCACAGGGGGAAAACAAGCTTTGTCATTTGTACTAAGAACTGAGAACAACGTAAATTAAAATTTTGATTCGTGAAAAAAGGTACATAGATTGAAATAAAAGGAAAATATATAAATTTATAAAGAAAATATATTTGTTTTGGGTGTGTAGTAAAAGTCTTTTTTTCTTATACTTATTGAATTATTCCGAAAAAAACTGAACCAAGTCAGAAAATATAGACAAAAAATAAATGTCCATGAAAAACTGGAGAAAAACATGTATGTCGCTAAGACAATGAATGAACAGAAATTGCTAAATTAATCTTTTTATACTTGAAAAAAGGTAATCTTAATGGCTTGAACTTAAAGAAAATATATTTATTTAAAAAAATTATATTGGTCAAATTGTTATATAATATTGTTTAAGCATGTTTTATCCTCAAAAGTATTCTTTAGCTTTTGGCCTACAAAACCTTGACAGGGTCTGGATATCTTGGAATATAGCCTTCGAAACTGGAAGGCTCTTATTATATGATTGTTCTGGTAATATAAACTCACAATCACCAGAAGAGTCATTGGGCCTTTCCATATTTTAGGTGCCGTGGGGATGGCTGATGTCCAAGCACCATTGTAATGTTCCCCGTGTAAGATTAATCTTGGATGATCCTTTTCAACCCTGATTTCTCTTATGGGTTAAGATAAAAAATGACATGCCTTCAAATATATTGGTGAAAGAAAAATTGTCCATTTTCTGACAAGTGGTTGGTCAACTTCAAACACATCAAAGGGTTTCTGCTTTCTATCACTTTTATCCGCTCATCAGGCGTTTCACAAGGCGATTTTTGGTATATGCAAGCCATATTTCTGTCACACTCCAAGTATGAGTGTCCGCGAATGGGAAATATGATTTTGATCACATCCAAGCAAAACAATGTAATTCCTATTCTGCCCTCCGCAGGAATCACAGTATATCACGAGTTCCCGAGTATTTTTATCAAGAATAGTAAATATATAGTGATTAAGAAATGGGCACATTTCATCTCATCATTTTTTTTTTCTATTGTTTCTGGGTAGCAGAAGAAATAGGATTTGGATGTAGACAGTTCATGGATATTAAAAATATTCAAGTTTAATTGTCTTTGTTTGTGTTGTTTACTATAAAACTTCATTTGTGGTAATGTTCAGCGTAAAGGCTTGTGCTGTGCGTTGTGGTCACAGTTCTAACCTAACCTAACATGGCGGCAAACACCAGGTTAGGTTAGATTGTGCCTGACGTACCTATGTTGTGTTAGTTTCATTATGTTTGTGTACGTGTTTAAAAGTAACACTATTTTGATTCTGCTTCTGCTCCAGCGCTGCGGGAAGTGCAGCCCGCAGCGCTGGAGGTAATACTATGGAGGTATACACTCTAGGGGTAAGAGCAGAAAGACCATGTGAAAGTCGGGGTTGATAGATCGGTTTTGTGATTTATACCTAGTGGTTTGATCAAAAGAAACGACCAAATATAATATTATAAAAACATTTATTTATAGGCATGTTTAATTGCTTTAATCAATTCCATAAAAGGATGTAAAGTTTTTTGGGTGGTTATTGTATTTTTTGAAGAATCTTTTAACCACCCGCCATTGCGATTCGATCCTTTGAGTATGAGTGTCATCAGGGGCAAGAAACGGGTTATCAGAATCGAAATGTTTCACCTTCTTGTGAATGTACCCATGTTCCCCCAAACAATCATAAGCCCTCCAGAAGTCTGTATGGACTGTGGTGCCCTTAGCCACATGTTTTTGTTTTAATTGGGGCACTAGTACGTCCGCTGACCTAATGTTTTCGGGGCATAACTTGCTAATCGGTCAAATCTTCATTTCCATCCTCAATGAGTCCGGATCTTCGGATCGGGCCCTCAATCCGCCTTCCTAAAAACAACAATAAAAATTTATAGTTAGTAAATATTTAAGATATTTTGGCTTTAAAAATAAACTTTAAATAAATAAATTTTTTCAGTCTGTAATATAAGAAAATGAAATTACCTTTATTATATTTCCGTTTTCCAAATTTTGACTCGTCTGTTTGGACAACATTTTCTGGGTCACCAATCTTGCCGATGGCCTCTGGCCGCTCTATTTGGTAGATGACGACTGTTTCCCTGCAGTAATTGTACCAATCGCAGACAGTCGCCATGGATAAACAGCCTCCCTCCATATCTTTTTTCAGGGTCTACGTGGATTGAATCTTCATAGCTCCAGCGATGTGCATAACAGTACATCAGATAGAATACCCGTGGCATTGATATTTTAATATTTTCAAACCAGGTGCCCTTGCCACGAGCTACCGTAGATCGGGCTCTGCAATTTCCTTTATTGCACACAAAGACGCCCACATTTTTTTTGCCCATATTCCACTTTCATTGGCACTCTATGGGTGCGGCACTCCTTAGTGACAGGGATTAATCAATTTTCAACGGCAAATTCTACACACCGCTCTCTGGTACCGAGTTCTCGCACGATTCGGGATAAATTAAACATTTTTGCTTCTTCTTTCACGTAATCGCCTCAAAGCTCCGCGAAGGGCACTGCATTCGTTGCGGCGGCGTTGCTTGCGTTTGACGGACCGGCCGAACTAGTTGACAGGGTGGGTCGTCAGCCATCTTGGGTCTCCCAGGTGGACAGACAGGTAGGCAAAGTCCATAAAAACGTGCAGGGGTCGTCGTAGGGTAAATCCGTGGTCCGTTATTCGAGCGCGGGTCTTCGTCAAGGCAAATCACAGGTCCAAGAAACAAGCAGAGGTCGAAAGTAGAGCGGGCGGTAATCGGAGGTTCGGTAATCGAGCAAGGGTCAAGAGTTGGAAGCAAAAAATGAGCGCAAAACGCGAAAGAAGGCGAAAGTGGAATGGTGACTAAAAAAAATACTGTCTTTTTACATGTTGGGCTTCATGTAACACAACCGTGTAACATCGTATGTTAGAGTAGGATAACACTATAAACAAATCATACAAGCCATACTATTGCTATCTCTTTCTAATAATTATATTGCAATTTCGTTATCGTATCATTTTTAAATGGATATAACCTCAAAACTATAATTATCGATATTTCGAAAACTAAAGATTTCCGGCGTAATAGCGTCATTGCCTGTCAACTAAAGCTAAAATGATCACCACATAAATCGTGCCGCAGATTACTAAAGCCAATCCGTACATATCTTTGCCTCGTTATTCCGTGGATAGAAATAAATGCTGCAGCACATACTGGCACATCATACTGCTGGGTTTCGTCGACAATTCTCACTCTGTAAGCGTAACTTGCTGTATGTAACTTTGCTTCAGACTCGTCTAGTCAAGGGTCGTCGTCATTGAATTTCCAGAACACTTATAAGACCACTTAGATAAAGGTTTTGTGCATCTAGATGGCAATAGGTTATAGGAATGTTGAAATATTTCAGAATTTTAGCCCTTTGTTCCTCATTAATAATTTCGAAACACTTGTATCTCTTGCAGTTACAATTTTGACCACTTTCGTGACATTGGAATCTAGTTTTCTTGTAGACATCCGACAATCGACCGTAAAGTTTACGTTTTTTGGTAGGTTGCATGATATTTAATCTCGACTTCTTCTTCTGAGGAAATTTTCAAAAATTACGAAAAATGTAATACGCCGCACAAAACAACAGAATTGAACAGGTGACCGACCGAAATAACCTCAAAAACAAGACGTAACGAAACAAACGTCAAACTGCCAACTATGGACAACACATGTTATTCTCCCGTATGATGTGGACATAGCTTGTTATTGCACTGTATCAATATCAATATATTTAAATAAAGATAATTCCGGGCCCGTGCATGTAACCGCAAAGTG